AACTAGTTGACGTTAGCTAGTTGGCCATCCCACACACAGGTGACTCTGACCGCACGCACCAACCGGAGGGGGAGGGGTCGTGTGACTCGTTACGCTCTTCGCTGCACACAACTGAGGGAGTCCTGCGCTTTCCGTCTTTGACAACATGTAAAAAAACTGCGCATACCACAGGAACGGTATAATGGAAAATTTTAGTGGTTTTGAACCCGTGACTTTTCCAAACCGCGGTATACCTTGAAACCGGTTATCGTCCCATGCCTAGTCATAATGCTCAATGACCTAAGTTCTAATATTTACAAAAACAATTTAAACAACTGATGCAAAATGTTTGCACGCCATTGGACAAATAAACACCCCATTAGAATCATATAATCAGTTAAACATTATAACATGCATTAGGAACCTAAAAGGCACCAAACTGTCAGAATGACTCGGGATTCGGGAAAGCTACAAAACCGGTGAACAATCATCTTCTGCTGACCATGCGAACAAAACGTGCCCATTCATGATACTCAAATCCATTACCCATTGAGTTGTTAATGTGATCACTGGTGTGCCTACACAATCATGGACTTTATTCATCATTTTGGAAGAACCAGAGGGAGCCAAGAGCTGATTCATTTCAAGTCTTCTTTCTGTCCTCAGATTGATTTGTGTCTTTTTCTGTGATATATTATTCTCAGAAAGTAAACACTGTGTCTGTGTTTTTATTGTAACAAAGATGCACTGTTCTCATTAGCGTCAAGCTAAGATCATTGACTGACTTACAACATTACAACCTCTTTTGTTGCTGTATATATGGCTGGATATGAGTTGAAACAAAGTTCTATCCTAATCCAGCCAGTGGTTCATTCCAAATGGTATATGAAACCCAACATTAGTGTTTGCAGGGCCGTAATTATGCCATCAAGCCTGTCATAACCCTATAACATCAGATGACTAAGCAAAGTTGAGAAGGACATTTTATTTTAATACAGCAAGCAGCTAGCCAGTGAGGTCAGCGTGTGTTTGACTTCAAAGTGAACTTCCAGAAAATGTGTCATGTCAAGTAAGTGAAGAAAATTATTTTATGTGGTTGAGTCAAATCCCTGGCTAGTTTTTGTCGTTATTTCTTGTGGGTAAGGTAATGCTCGATAATGAATGTGCTAAAACTTAAGCTTAGACGTTTACTTATTATTCCAACTCTAAACCAGAAACATAGGCTACTCTATGCAAGTACAAAAAATAAGTTGAGCACTTAATGTGCAGTTCTTGTGTTATTGTGGTGGTTAACAAACTTCAGTACTCAAGGGGTTGAGTTAGCTTCAAATATCTATGCCACTAAACCAAATTTTTGTGGTCTAATTACCTTAAAGGTCCCATATTGTCAAAACTGAAATTTCCTGGCTTTTTTCACGATAACTGAGGTCTAGGGGCTATTTAACTACCATATAAGTTTCAAAACAGTCAGTCCACAGTAAAATGCACACAGCCTGCATAAAGTAGCTGTGATTTTTCACGAACCGTTGTGACTTCCGTAAAAAGTTGACATCAGAACTACACAGTTACCGCCTTTACTCACCACCCCGAGCACCACCCACAGTCCCACTCTCCTTTTGCCAAACCCCCAGACAAGATCGCGTGCATGCTATTGCTGAGCAACGACAACACGGAAACATGTCGAAAAGGTTAACTTTAACCACGAAACCAGATCGGCCGACACAGCTGTCGTCGTTTTTTTTGTCTGGCAGTGGCAGCAGATATGCGATCAAATTTCTAATTTGAGGCTGTATTAAGTCGATTCTGGCACCCAACATCACAACAAGATAATATTTTAATAACGTAGCAAGGGGTGAACATGAACAATTCCAGACAAGGTAGAACACAACGGGCTCGAACTCAAATAGGGCAGATAACGAGGGGCAGACAGGTGATGAGGATAACTAATAACAAGGAACAGGTGATTACTAATAATAGGAAAAGGAACTGGAAGGACCAAATAAGGACAAACATGAGCTAAACAGGAACATACACGTGACATATATAAAGTGGGTATAGAAAAGAATCACCCCCCTTTAAAATAATCAAGCTGTATTTACTCAGTGCAACTTATAACATCCAAGTGAAAGATATACCACCAATATGTCATAAAAAAATTAAAAAACATTATCACTGAGTTGGAAAAAGGATCACCCCCTCATGGCAGTATTTTGCTGAACCCCCCTTTGCTATAATTACAGCCTTTAGGGCCAGATTTACTGAACAGGGCAAATTAGCGTGAGAGCGCAATTCCAAAAAAGCGCTAATGGGTGTGGAAATTTCTGCGGGTGATTTACTGACAATGCGTAAATTAAGCTACCCAGAGCATCGCAAATTAGCGTCTGCTTTAAGACATGCTTTTTTGGACTGCATGAGGCCTTTGAGGAGTGGCTTTTTTCTTGCAACCCTCCCATACAAGCCACATTTGTGGAGAATTTCTGATATTGTTGTCACATGCAAACAATGACCACATGGTCATTAATTCCAGCAACTGCTTCAAAGTTGCTGTAGGTCTCTTGGTCACCTCTCTGACCAGTTTCCTCTGACTTGTGCCTGCCCACAACTTTATCCCAGAGATCTTTTTCAGTGCCTTGCCACTCATAGTTGATTGCTTCAGTTGCACTACCAACTACTGAAATGCTGCAGGAAAGCTCTTTTCATGCTGAGCTAATCAAAATTACCACAACTGATCACAGTTGAATGTCAAATGGCTTTGTGTGCTATTGTGAAGGTGATTGGCTGCACCTGATTATGGTTTTCTATTTTTTGTATATATATATTTATTTTTTTGACATGTTGGTGTGTTTTCTTTCACTTGGATTTTATAAGTTGCACTGAGTAAATACAGCTGGATAAAGCAAAAACTGTGTCCGTCTTCATTTCGGGCTGCAAAGCAACAAAATGTGATTATTTTAAAGTGGGGTGATTCTTTTCTATTCCCACTGTATGTGTGTGTGTGTGTGTATGTGTGTGTGTACACTGTTTTCTATTTTAATATATTTAAACATGTAACATTACTCCAGTATTCAGTGCCATATGATCTTTCAGAAATCCTTCTAATATGCAGATTTGGTGCTCAAGAAATATTTCTTATTAAATACTCTTTAATGAATAGAAAAGCTTTTGTACAATATTACATTATTACATGTCTTACTGTAACTTTTGATCAATTTAATTCATTTAATGCAATTTAATGAATAAAAGTATTAATTGTAATGGAATAAAATAATGTGTGTTTGTATAATTCAGAAATTAAAAACATGTACATCACAAAAGAAATGTTTTATTGTGTGAATTGCATTGTTACATATTTTTTAATAAATTAACTTAAATTAAATTAAAACATTTTGTTATGTCACAGTTATGTCACTCATTCCTGCAAACTTTAAAAAAATACCATTTTATATCAATTAAATCCTGACATAAACCATTGCGTCAGCTTTAGGCATTCAGCAACTTACACACACACACACACACACACACACACACACACACCTACCTCTTTTATAATTACTACAGGGAATACAGGAGGTTGCAAAACTGCATGGGCAAAACTGTGGGCACTTTTCCATTTTCCACTAGCCCTACTCTGCAATAAAAGAGTCTAATACACCATTTGCTGAATAACCCACACATTTCACACATCATTCCAGCCGGAAAGAGGCAGCTGAATTTCGGGAATCCCCAGTTGCCCTGAACGTTCCCAAATTTTCTTTTTCCACAAACTACAGAGCAGCACACAATGACAGCTAACCACCAACTTCAGAAGTTTCTTTGGGGGCGCAAACATGAAACAACACACTTATCAAGCGTATTTGTGAACACCAATATGTATTTTTATGAATATGTTTATTCCTCTGCCCTAACAACCTAGATTTTGTATCATTATAACAGATGTTCAGGCATACAGAAAGACCGGTGATGTTTTTGATTATGGGTATGTGAATGACCAAGAGGACGGAGCTATGATTTAAAGAACGAGAGTGTGTTGGAGCACAGGGATGAGCTTCCTGAGTGCTGCTCCCAATCGTTATTCATCATTTACTTATTATAACATTCTGCATTTCACATTATGGCACACATGGTTTTGTTCATGCAGATTAAGAATGACTCCCTTCCAGAGACTGACGCATAAGATGGACTGGTCGCACTAACCGTAAAGATTCCTGAGGTATGCACTATGTTTTGCAACTGCAATAAGGGTCTTGGTGTATTTTTGGCAAGCTTTCACTAGAACTGTGATCAATCAGTATTTTACTCTGAAATCCAAAGGGGTTTAGATGACACATTAAGGAGCCACATTTAAAATGCAGATTATGTGCCAAAAACTGATAAAAACATGACAAATTTTAGGAAATATATACGGAAATTAGTCAAAATATTAATGACTACTACTTTATCAATTCACATATTGTAGCTGAAATATTCTTTTTAGTACCAGATCTCATCTCGAGTTCACCAGTGCCTTCACAACATTCATCTTTTCCATTGAAAACAAGGCACAGGCCAAGGCAGAGCTCTCAAAACAATGGCACTATTTGTTTAAAACTACAATCACATCCTCAAGCCAGTTGTTTTAAGCCCACCCCCTCACTCTAAACTCAAAGGGGTCGAGCAGCCTGCCCTGTATCACTCAACTGGGTATAGAAGTTGGCTCGGAATAAACCTTTTCAGATAAATTCTAGACAAACTGCTTTGAAACGGCTGGGCTATGGAGCAATGAAACATGAGATGATGTGTTGGGAGATGAACACAATACTTAAAGGGGTCATATGATGCGATTTCAAGTTTTCCTTTCTCTTTGGAGTATTACAAGCTCTTGGTGCATAAAGAAGATCTGTAAAGTTGTAAAGATTAAAGTCTCAAATCCAAAGAGATATTCTTTATAAAAGTTAAGAGTCAGCCACGCCTACCTAAAACGCCTCGTTCTAACATGCCCCCACATATCTACGTCACTATGTGGAAATATTAGCATAATGCCGCCCAAATGTGCACGCAAAGAAAGAAGGCGTGGTTTCAGGAACAGCAGTAGTGTTGATGCAGCCCTGTCAGTGAGACGCTGTGTGTTGCTATGACAATCTGGCGCTTCTGAATCAGCAACTGTAAGTATGTGTTGTTATCAGTTTTGTTAAAGTATTAGTAAAGTAAATATAAAAAAAATATTTAAAAAATCAAGTATTTGCTATTGACTGTTCAAATGCGGAGTTTTGCGCAGCGCAGAGTAACGCGTCGTGTGTGTGTGTGTGT